AAGAACACACAACATTAGGCTCTGTTAGTAGCATTAAACTGTCCCTGCCACATGAAGACGTCCAAGGGAGTCTGGACACAGTTGAGAACGATCCAACGTTGTTTTTTTTTCGTCCGCTGCTTGAGACAGACCTTCGCAGAGAAGATCCGCGTGAAAGCTACAAGCTAAAGCAGAGGCGCCCCTACGGAGGCGCCCAGACTTGGAGACCAGACAACAAAGAAAGGCCTGAGGCCGCTCACTTTCAGCTCAGACTTCAGGGCAGGGCCCTTGGCATCGTCGAAACGTTTATCCTACGTAGTAAGAAGCTTTTTGCTTGATGAATGAGGCCAGCTACCAGGGCTTGTCTGGTAGCGTTAATTTAGGGTATCAATAGAAGGGGACGAGCTGAATATTTGACGTCCTGGAAGGGACAAAAGTGATAGATTTTACGCCGGGACGAAGTCTCAATTATAAGATTTCTGGGGATGACTTCGGTGTTATAGGCCGAGGGCTGGTGCCATAAGAATACCATATTAACGCCAGTTTTTCGAGCTAAGAGTGAGTCCCAGTCAAAGTGAACGGCCCTCTCACAGGTTGCGTATCTTGAAAATTCAAGTTGTGCTTTCTTGTAAATAAGTGTCGTTTTGCCCAAGTCTAGGTGTGAAAGAAATTGGGACTTCACCTTGTCGGAGCATTCATCGCTGATTTACTGCTCCCTCTTTCCCGTGATCCTGCCAGTTGCGACAGAGCGGATCCCCCTCCTGGCGATCCTGTCAATTATGGCAGCGCCGACCTTTTTCTTCTTTGGTACCGCCTACGGGCAAAGCGTGTGGCGTAAGCTGAGTAAACGCGTTGTACGCTATCCCTGTGTTTGGTGTGGTCTCCCGTCCACCGGAGCCTAACGGCAGTCGACGGGCGCACCCGGCCGTAGCCGCCATAGAAGCGGACTACGGAATGGGTGTTGCCTCAAAGCGATCAGCAAGGTAAGTCGCAACCCGGATTTTGTAACCGACGAGTTACGGAGTGTGTATTTGCCTCACTCAGGACTTTGGGGTAAACTAGAATCCCACACTATTTACCATGCTAATGCTATCTACAATATGGCTGCACACCTTGGAGCCTGGTGCCTTTGTCCTCTTGAAGGCAATGTGTCCGTTTACCCTTCCGGTCTTTGGCACGTACTAGAAATATCGAACTGTCGGCAGACGTGTTCGAAGCAAACGTAATTATGAAGAAAACACGCTTCCAGAATGCTTGAGGCGCGTCCTCGGATAATCCAGCCTTCGCGTCTGCAGCAAACACCATGTATGACGTGTGAGTGGCGCGACGAGGGTTTAGGCCTCGCGAACAACGGTCGGGGAAGAATAGCCCTGCATGTCATTCCGAGCTTCAACACTGTTTAGGTAACCGATTGTCATCGTTTCCAATTGCACCGTGAAGGCTATGAATAACTCAGCGCTATTTGGTTCGAACAATTATTTAGACATCCCTAGTTTATAGACGCGTATGTATACAGCGCACGTGTACTGCATCATAGAGACCTCTATACTCACAAAGCCGGGCAGTTCGACGACGGAGCCATAGGGCGTCCGGTCGCAGATTTGGAGCGCGAGGATCTGGTAGCACAGAGCATCAAATAATCATTTCTCGGGATGGATGGATGGATGGATGAATGCGGCTAAACCCTTTTGATCGGGCGGTAGCTTATGCCACCTAGCCATTTTGTTTTACTATTTAAGCCAGGGAAACCTGGACGTCAGCGCACAGTTTGTGCAGCGTTGAGGACCCGAAACACACTTTCGGGTCCTCGCGTCTCGCCGCAGCGGGGCGCCAGTCACGTGGCTCTCCTCTCATCCGTTGTCTGCCGCTCTATCTTTTCCATTTCGGTGGCCGCCTCTCGTGGCAATCCGCCAGGCTTTGTCTGTATATAGGAGGCTATGACTGCATCAATTCAACTGTAAGAATTCGTTTCTTCTGTGTGTGTGTACGATGCTAGAACCTAGTCAGTCGCATATCTGTGCTAGACGCACCATCATCACTCCAAACCGAATGTCGGCGAACTGTACGGAGTTCATCGCAGGCATGTTAGGAAGAATCTTTAAGGACAGTAGGTGTTCCGATCCGGCTGGTCTCGGAATAGCGTTCGCTCAGAAGGCTACGTGGCGCAGCCTGTAACCGCACTCCGCAATCATACTGCTCGTCCATCATGAAAAAGACGCGGCGTTCTCTGCGGACATGATGACATAGTTATCTACGCACACGCGTGAAGCATGTTCGCTTCATACACTTGTATGTCTAATACACGTCTGCAGACAGTTTTTAGAGCGGTAGCTTTATAGGGCCAACCAACCCCACAAGCCACGTAAGCACGAATTGTGTAGGTCGGTCGGTCCGTAACCGCTAAAACGATCTTTGAGAAAAGAAAAGAAAAGAAACTGCAACCGGTGCTAAGGATCGAATCCCGGTCACCGCTGTGGAAGCCGAGTGCGCTGCTGGCTGCGCTACGAGTCCAGCACACAGGAATGGGAGGAGCAGGAGCAGGTAGTGTGAGAAAAAGCGCGGAGGGGAAAAGGGGGGGGGGGGGGAGGGAAAGAAAGAGAGGAGCAGAAACAGGTGGTGTGGAAAGAGTGCGCGGTACTATGAGAGGAAAAGGCAGGAAAGTGCGGATTTTCCCTCTCTCAATGATTCAGAAAATTCAACGCAAAGGCTTTGTATCTGAGTGGTGCTGAAGGGAAGCGCGCGCAGCATCACAAAGAGACAATGGTGTGACGTAATCTGTTTTCATACAAAAAAACACCTGCCCTGTAGGCACCACCTCAACCAAGTACACCACCCACCCCAGGCACTGAAGGACTAAGTGTCATCCAGTCCTATAGGCACCACCCGAGCAATAAGCGCTCCACCGCATTTTAACGCGTCTGGCAGAATGACCAAACATGCAGTCGATTTCTTGTGTATGAGTCGTTATGACCAATGTGACAGGATTGTCATACAAGTAAGAAACACGCCTTAGACAGTAGCTGCGATCGATATACCTGCACCTCCTGCACAAGTGCAGTAAAGTGTAGGGCAGTGTACTTCCGGTATATGTATCGAGGTACGACCGGAAGTACGCCGTCTTACACTTTTCCGCACCGGTGTAGAAGGTGAAAGTAAATCGAATGCAGTTAATGGTCTGCAGACTGTTTTTTGTATCGTATTAGCACGGTGACTGTGGCCTAAAGAGTGACGCCTACAGTAAAACAAACACGCGCAACCGGAATGCAACTATGGTGAGTGGTTCGCCGAGCTCCATGAAAAGCTCCCGCATGTCGTGTGCTCATGTTATACACCTCAATTCTTATCGCACTGGCAAAAAAAAAAAAAAGAAGTCGAATTACTGGGTTCGGGACCAGGGGCAGATTCAGAGGAGGGCCCGATGTCCTGACCCTCCTCTTGAATTCTGCATCTGTAAAAATTTAGGGCGTGGAAACGGGAAGGAGGGGGGTCTTAAAGATATGATACACTGACCAACACCTGACCCCACCCCCTCAAGAAATACCCACGTACGCCCCTGTTCGGGACACATCTGTGGCATTCGTTATTCCATAGAAGAATAGCTGCTGAGCATGCCTAGAATGCATTCCAGAGCCCGATAGATGCATGAATGGCAAGAGCCTTCGGAGTCATTCCGATGCTCGCGTGAGTGTCAGCTGACCTCTCGGAGTGCACGGTGCGGTCAGTGACGTGCGGGACCCCAAGTGGCGTGATCCGGTCACTGCGTTATAGAACCGGCTGGGATCACTCATAGTGCGCCCAGTGCGATTCATGATATAGGATAGGTAAAGCGGAGTCTAGAAGCTCGCGTGGTCGAACAACGCCACTCCCAGAATAATCAAATTCTGTGCGCTAGCATCCTGACGTCAACAGAGTCTAGATCGATCGCAGGCGCAGATTGGATACGACCGTTGCGTCAGCGTATTCGGCTAGGCTTCGTGTACAGTCAACGTGTCAAAGGATCGCTCGGCGTCGGACTCATTTGACTTTATCCGAGTGTGATGAGTGATGGTCGTTACGTGCAGACAGAGGAGCCTGTTCGCAGGCTTTGATTATTCTATACTTCGTCTCAGCTTGTCCAGACGCTTCCGACGCTACGAGGTATATGGGACCAATCAAGTAGCGTTAAAACAGCAAATCGCTAGGCCTTTTTTGTTTATGATTGGTTCAGCGATGATAGAACACGTTCAGAAACCTGGCGTGCAACATGATGGTGCGCTTTTGACGCTGTCTGTGTCATGGTTGGTCGAATCAGCTCGTAAGCTCGTAGCGTCGACTGCAATTCTCCTTAAGGTGGAACGAAGTATAGTCGCACAGCAGCGTAGCCGGTTGTAAGTAGTCAGAAGAGGATTAGAAACCACTTTGAACCTCTGCTGTCGTAAGCAGTCGCAAGTGTATTAGCCAGCTTTGACCCACCCGTGTGTCTTGGTACAAGCCCTGCAACTTAGTCAAGAGGATCAGTGTGTGAATTCAGCGTGGTGTTTTACAGAATTCCTGCGCGTTCCGCGTTGCCAATATTCCGATTAAGTCGATAAAGACAATTTCAATCGCTTTCGATCACTGAGGAGCTAAATATACACTGCTTTCCGTTTCACCTTAGCAGCCAGCGCTGCAAGCTCATGGGGTCAATCAAGTAGTGTCACGGCATTCATCGTCTTTCTGTGTGTGTGCTATGGTCGGCTACACCAATCAACCACAGGGAAAGAGCCGTGACCCTGAGCTTCATTGGACGCCAGTGTCTACTTGATTGTCAACTAGTCTTGACGAAGCTCGGACATATGGTGAAACCAAGGTCGCTCGATTTTTGGGTAAAATAAAGTCACTTCATTGCGAAAATGCTCCGGTGCCCCAAGCGTTGCCAATGCATAAATTGTGCAATTCGCTATAGAGTTTGTACACGTCATCCTGTGGTCGTTCACAACTACATCATGATGGCATTCATGAAACCTGTCAAGGCTGAAGATGAATCACACCAGGCCCGGAAGTATATGTCGCATCATTTTATTTAGTCCAAAAATATGACAAAAAAAAAAAAAGATTTCTAAAGAGGCGCTGGCCGAGGGGCGTCGACCGTAGCACCGGAGAAGTTTTAGATTTACACCTCTGGCACGCAGTCAGTGGGGATTTCGACGTCCTCGTTGAATGTAGGGATGTCCGTGGGCAGACGAACGTTGCGCTTGCCCTGGATGTCCTTAAGCAGCCTCTTGGCCACCGGGTGCTTCTCGTTCAGGCAGACGAACTCGAGGGTCACCTTCTCGGTTGCCACGGGCTTGCAGCGGCGCTGGCAGGCCGTCACCTTCTTGGTGCTGATGCACACCTTTCCGTCCTTGTAGATGGTCTTACGACGCTCGGTGACGCACTCGGGGGTGCCGATCAGCTTGGGGATCTCGATTTCCTTCTCTGTTGGCAGTGATTAAAAAAACGAGGAGTCAAAACATTTGAGTTTTTAAGTAACTGTGCTTTGTGTATATTTATACAAGGGGAAGTTAGCCAGCTCCAATGGGTACCCGTCAGGCACGTAGCCATTGAGGGGGCCGGACCCCCCCCCCCCCCCATCTTCAATTTTTCTGGGACCTCCTCTCCCCCCTCCACCTCAGCATTTTGTCATGGGCGGCAGTCCCCCCCCTCCGAAAGAAAATCCTGGCTACGTGCCTGGTACCCGTTGTTTTCGCTGTAGTTGAGACATCTAGCCAGTGCACTACCACTGCTAGCCTGGAGTCCTTAACATGCATCGCGCAATAGTGATACACGACCGCGCGCCGGTCGTGTGTCTCTAGCCGTTCAAATTGCCATCAGTAAAAATACAAACCGATGCTATGTTTACAAACATATTTTTGCCCGCAGGGTCAAATTCAGCTTCCTGTGGTAGACTTCACCACAACACCAACGTGGTCATCATCACTGATAGGTAATTAGCAATGTGGTATTTGTTGATACCCGTAAGCTGCGATCATAGTGTTCAAGAATAAACGCCTCCGTAATCCATTAGATTTAAGAATTTGCAAACACGTCATACGTCAGTGACTCTTTCTCAACAAAGGCGTCAGTCAACACCGACTTCGGTTAAAGCTAATCAAATTCGCTTCAAGTAGCATGGAAGCTTCCAGACGAACCGGAGATACTCTTTGGTATGTTGCAGGTTAAGAATAGCTCCTCCCACAAAGCCCTAAACTCTTTTCACTTGAGCAGAACGAAGACTGAAGAGGAGGTGAGACACGAGGAGGAGCCCACTAACCATGGCGTGCAGATAGCTTTGTGGGAGGAGTATGTCCTGCTATGGAACCTTTTTTCAAATGTGCGCGCCATCTTGTAGTTGGTACACCAATTATTCGAATCCGCCATTGTTTGAGCACGTGCTCTGAAGATGTATTCGGCACGAGGACAAAGTCGTATCCAAGACGAGTGCTACGTAAGCGTTCGGCGAGTACTCGGATCCAATCGCACGCGTCGTGGCCAAACAATATGGCGACCACCAATGTTGCTTGATTGGATTTTGAAAAAAGGTATACTCTAAACCTGCAACAGGCTATACAACTAGCGGCGTAAATGAGGCTCGCAACAAGGTAAAAAAGTAAAGAGAAAGGTTAAAACGGTTTGCGGTAGAAGGGTATACGCACCAACTTCGATCGGGTTGATCCTGGCGAAGGTCTTCTGGATGCGGGGGTAGGAAGGATAGCCAACACCGCGGAGGGTGACACCGAGGGGGCACTTGTAGAGACCGACCGTGGACTCGAGGCCCTTGAGGCTGTAGGTCTGCACAAAGTCTTCCTCCTCAGTGAGGACGCAGAGCTCGGGGGTTACGAGTTCGTCCACGTACTCTCCGTCCAAGTCTCCGCAAAGACCCAGGACGCGTCCCTTGTACTTGGGGCTGAGGACCTGGGGATTGAACGTGAACACAGAGGCGTTTTAGGTGGGCTGGTGCCGGTATAGAAGCTGCGGAATAGTGCGGGTGTTGCAAACGAGCAGAAAGGCTCAGCCCTCATCTCTACCTGCTTCCTCGTAATGTGCAGTCAACAACAAAGCGAGAGACTGTCTGGAAGATGCAGTTTCAGGTGGCAGCGCTTGATTCGCTTTGGCCAGACCCACGTAGATTAAATTAAGAAAATAACTTAACCTTTGTTCTAGTCTCTATCTAAAACAAAAGTTCCGCTGGCCTAAGTTTGCTTGGCACGGACGTCAGCTGCTTAGGCGAATGGGTCTTTTATGTTGCGAGGTACCGAACATGGCAAAGACAAAAGCAGTTCCCCTTCAAAGGGTGTCTCATATAACAAAAATGTTAGTATACGTCATTGTATTATATTGCTGTAGGCACTGTTCTGCGTTTGAAAAGTTAATTTTTTTATGATGATGTTTTTATGTTATGCGGAGTTTTCGTTACGTTGAATTGTATTGTATTATGCTACATTGATGGGGACAGCTTTAAATAACAAAAACCCGTTCACGAAAGGAAGCTTTGCTCACATTCACAAACACCACTGTGTGAGAGTGTACAACTGTAACCAACTGGCGCAGCTGAAGTCTATTTTACTAGTTTTATTTTGAAGGTGACACACTGACCTTGAGAATGTTTGGCCTTCCAAATTTTGTAAGAAAAACGATGAACAGATCATTTTTCGCCATCCAGAAATGCGCACGAGTGTATCCTTCAACATGGTACGATCATGAATTGCTGCCAGGCAGAGAGATTCGACCAGAACTTACTAGTGCGTTTTCTCTACACTTCACTGCAAGTATACCACACGAAGGCAATGCATACAAGGAACCCAAAAGAGACGTCAGCGCTACACTCACCTTGAATATCAGTTTGCTTCCATCGTAGGCGAACTTGAGGCCAAGATCGCGGACCGTAACCCAGAGGGTCGGGCCGACCTCTTGGTGCTCGGTGACGTACAGGAAGACCTGAGACGTGTAGTTCTGCGTGTACTGGAGTACGTGCGACTTGAGCGGCTCCACGTAGAGGCTGGTGCCGTTCACCAGGACCTCGAAGGTCTTGCCGTCTCTAGGAGGAGTCAGCTCCAGAAGGGTCTGGTTCCGCAGGATCAGCTTCACCAGCTGGGGTTGGGCGAGGTCAGGAAATTGATGATTTGTATTCTAGTCCTCACACGTTTACTCGCACGTATTGGGAAACTCTGGTTCCAGCCTAGGCAAATTTTTTTTCGCTCATCATTTTTTTGTTTTAGCCGAGATTCAATCCTGCCAAAGGTACAATTCAAAGAAGCCCGAAATGCATTATTTAAACGTTTTTTAGTTTTCTTGCATGTGAAGCTGCTTTAAGATCTGTTCGTACATCCTGTGCAGCGCTGATTTTGTAATACATCACCGCTGTATTAACACTTTGCTGCATGTTGCACTACATTGTACTGTATACAAACACAGTGTAATGCTAACTCAGCGCTAACACTGGCGCTGATATAGCGCTGGTATTGTACTATATCAGCACTTCGCTGCATGTGTGCAGTGTGAACCGGCCTTTACAGCCAGCCTAAACAACCGAGAGATTAGAATTAACCTATCTGGAAGGTGCAGCGTAAACGCGTTAATCGAATTTTTTTAGTGATTAATGCAATTCTACTCGACATCGAATTAATCGTCACGCCACACTGTTTTAGCCCACTTGTTGTCACAGATAATATGAAACTCGACAGCGTTTTAGTGCAAACATTTTGCGGGTATAAAAGCGCAACCGACGCCACGCTTGTTGCAGTTCACAAAACCCCCTTAACAGTATGACATTGTTACCATTTTAGAACGTAAGATTTTCGCTGACGCCTTTTTAAACTTGCCTGAGTTTCGCCCTGGAACTCGGTCAGAACGTAGAAGTCTGGCTCGTCGAGGACGTGACGGGCAACAACGTATGTGTCGTCCCTCAAATAAGGCTTCAGGAGCACGGTGACGTTGTCGAAGGTCTTGAGGTAGGTAGGCGACACCAGACAGGTGGCTGTGCGATACAAAACAAATTATTACCAATTTTTGTCTGAGGGAATATCACGCCCGGGGAATCAAAACATAACTTATATTTCTACGTAGTGAACGTGCGGAGACCCACTCCAATCTATACCCTGATAAAGTTAGAGTTTTAGTTACCGGCAGCGAGTATTTTTATAACTGAGAAAATATTTAAGACGCACCCAGTCAGGAAACAGTCACACGCTGTTTGAAATTCTCTCACTGTTCAATCAATTTACAATCTCCTTCAGCTCTATGGCGGCCCGACAGACATTGCGTCATTAAAATCATATATAATAAATCAATGATTCACATTTTTACTTGCTGCACAACATTGCTCATCGTGCTCCCGGATTATATATCAATCAACTAAATAACAGCTATCAGGTTCATACTTCAAATCGGAAAGACCTAAAGCCACAGTAACGCTGTTCGTACGTCATACAGAAGACAGGGTTGTCGCCGCAGACATGATGACAAAATTACAAGAGACTAGCTGGTAACGTTTTTCTATTGGCTCACCTATTACCTCACACAGTAACAAACAAAGTTTACCGCGTGTATTACACAAATAAGCGCCGTTCGTCTTCCCGTGCCCGCTTCGCTCAAACTTACGGGTAGGGTAGCTCCTCCTCAGGACTCCGGCGACTGTGTCCAGGAAGCCGATGGCGACCGTGGGCTTCAGGTACTTAAACCAGTTGAGGCGCACGAACTGAAGCTTCTCTTCGAGCGGCGTGTAGAGCGTCAGGTTGGCGGTGGTCTTTCCTGTCGGGTGGTCCTCGAACACAAGTTCGCCTTCGAGATGCGTGAAGGTCGACCTCGTCTCGACGTCGTAGTCGGTGACGAGCTTGTTGTAGAACAAGACCTTGGCGTACTGGAGAAGGCTGTGAGTCACGTTCTTGAGAAGTCCGGGAACCTGCGCGTTCGAAGGCGGGCGGTATACGGTCATCTACCATACACCTCAAGAGGAAGGGTATAGGCGGCTGCAGATTGACGTTGGCCATGATACCTCAGACACTCTGCTCGTACATCGTACATTTGGACATGATTGTCTGTGGACGCGCCTCGAGCATGTCTGCATATCTGCATACAGTTTTTACATGACCAATGTGACCGTTATTTAAGGAAGAAACAGGCCTCAGGCGACGTCTGCAGAAAGTCTTAAGCGCCGTTCGCACACATGCAACTGAGTGCGGCCGAGAGAGACGAGACCGGTTCTTAAGCCTCTAGCGACGACTTAGGACCTGTTCCGCAGTAGCGCGTCTTGTCCTACGCCGTCGCAAGAGGCTTAAAAACCGGCCATGTCTCACTCGGTAGTACTCGGTTGCAAGTGTGTGAACGGGGCTTTACGTACGATGTGTAAGCGGTATGACTTTAGTGTTCGTAGTTTACACTTACAACTTCGGGTACGGTGACCTTGAAGAGGACCTTGTTGAGGACGTGCTCGTGCAGGTAGACCTTCTTGCAGGCGGCGCTGACCAGCTCCTTGCCTTCCTGGACGTCCTTTTCGCACTGCTTGTAGTACCAGGGGACAAGGTAGTCCTCGGTATGTTCCAGCGTGGGGAACTTGAGGGATTTGCGCATCTGCTTCTTGATGTTCTTAGGGTGCGAGAAGTGACTCGGGTGGGCGTAATGGGACGGGTGGGTCTTGACGCCGTAAAGTTGTTCCTCGGTGGGCACAACCTCGACCTGTTGTGAGAAAGAAACAGGTTATGAACTGAAGGCGGCCATGAACACACATGTATCGACACGGAAGTCATGAAACGTAATACAAAAAAAAAAAGATGATGAAAAAATTGGCATTGTTTTTATCTTTAAAGTCCTGTAAGAAATGCAATATTTAAAGGATGATCGTTTAAGATTATTTAGAGAATATTAAACCGTAGTTTCGAGGAGTGAAGGAGAAGCGTTATTTTTACCAATTTCCCCAGTCCATTGGGTGGCGAAACTGATTGCATTGGTCACGTGGCGTCAAGTTCCCCGCTAAATTTAGCGGGGAAATTTAATTGGTGTATAGGTCACGTGACGTCAATGTTCCTGCTAGATGTAGTGGGGAAATTTATTGGTGTATGTACCATATGTCATCAGGTCCACGTGACGTCACTTTCCCCACTACATTTAGCTGGGAAACGGAAAGTGTGTAGGTCACCTGACGTATATTTTCTATTAGCGGAGAAACTAGATGTGTGTATAGGTTACGTGAAGTCAGGTCACGAGACATCGATTTTCCCGCCGACTTTGGCGGGGAAACTTAATTGGTGTATGCAAGAGGTGACGTCATCATAACACGTGGCATCAGTCGGCGTCCCGTGACCTAACTACCAATCCAGTTTCCCCGCTAAATTAAGCGGGAAATATATAGACGAACGTACGGACAACGTTTTTGGGATTGTGGGGTTTCATTAAAAGCGTTTCATGCTTTAAAAAATAGCACTAGCTCGATCATTCTGACAAAGACCGAGAAGCACATGCTATGTGTGTGTGACGTCACACGACATCATTATGTCACATGACGTCACCGTGTCATAGGGTATGACGTGACAAAGTCATGTGACGTCACGGTGTCAGGTAATATCACATTGTCACGTGACCTCACGGTATCGTATGACGTTAAGACATAACGTGACTTCATGATGCTGCCTGACGTCGTGACGTCATGAAAGACAGGGACTTTGCCGCGACGTCACAGATCTTCGTGATGGCTCTTCATGGCGGGTCTTCATGGCTGTTTTCTCATGGGATTCGGTTGATAAACCACATTGTTAAAACCTTTGTTCAAAACACGACGGGATTTCCTACATCACCACACCGTTAGGCGTGCGGCCCAGGAGAATCAAATTATTCGATCTAGAGTTTGTGGACGTCAGGGAACAGGAACGGACCAGGGCAGATGCTGCGTGTCGCAAACTCACCTGAAGAGTATACTTCTGAGTGTCGCTCTCTTCGGTCAGGACGTCGAGAACGGAAGTGAAGTAGAGGGACTGTTCCTTCTTGTCGACGGCGTAGGACTTGAAGGGGCTTGGGACGGCGGTCTTGAGGAGGGCAGAGTGCACCTTCACCTGTAGGCACGACGACGTAGGGGAGGTTATTATTGAAATGGGCCCGTCATCGGTTTCTTAGGCGCATCAATTCGTGAACAAAACCCGACAGAGAAATCGACTGCTTAATTCTTTTTTTACTGCTACTCTTTTGAAATGTATATACAGAGGAATGTATCTTGATAAGTTCAAAATAATTATTGGCACATAGATTGTATGTTATTAAAAAAGTCTGCTTATTTCCATTTTACTTACTGGTTGTGTGTAAATCCTGAACTCGGTACGTTGAGTTAAACCGGCTTGCTTGTTGAACACAAAATTAGGGCAAAGGACGAACACAGTAAGATAGAGTAGACAGGACAGAGCTTCAGTACCTGCACTATTTTTCATAAAATTTTTCATTTTTCTAAAAATCTTTCTTTAAACAAACTGTGTTAATACTTTTTTGTGACTTTTTATTAATTTCTTAGTGTTACTTCCTTATCCTTATTCTTTTTTTATAATGTTTCTAATATTCTCTTCTTTCCTTCTCTAACATATTCTTTTTTCTCTTTCTATGACATGAGTCTCATTTAAATCTTTGTCTTCCTCTAACCTCTCATAAAACATCAGTTGTAAGCAGGGTGTCGAACCGGAACCGAACCGAACCGAAAACCGGAACCGAACCGGTATTTTTTCCGGAACTGAACCCGAACCCGAACCGTTATATTGTTATCGCGATGAACCCGAACTGGAACTGAACCGGAAAAAAAAATAACGGTTACCGGCTCATGTCAAAACGGTTCAGCCACGCGCTGTTGACAATGAATGTGCTATCAATGCCATTTGTTTTTTAAGTGCCGTCAACTGACACACACCTCGCTTACATATTTTCCTTCTCCACTCAGTCTTAGGAATATAAACGCTGCATCCATGAATCTTGACAAACGCTGCATCCATGAATCTTGACATAGGAACCAGTATTGCGCTGGTCGCGGCTTGCACGGAAGAAAGAGAATTGAAAGGCTGTGCAAAAAAAAAAAAAAAAAATCGCGTCACGGGATTTCATTTTTCTACAGTCTCGTAAATCCTAAATGCCGCTGTGTGCTCATTTAATTCCACGTTTCTAAAACGCGCGAGTTCTTGAAGCTTGCTTCCATCGGAATGAGAAAAGAAAAGGCTGTGGAGTTTGATAAAATGCATCCGGTTTCGTATAGGCACTTAGAAGCTAACATATTTGTGAGACAGCGAACCCTTCTATTTTAATATTTCTCCTATTACGTCCTTCTGGCGTTGCGTTCGGAGAAGTGTTTTTTATATTCCGTATCTTGTTTAATAAAAACTTCTTTAAGGGTCTAATTTGAGTTACCGAAGGCTAGTTCAAATAAAGAAGGCTGTATTTTCTCCCCACTGTTCCTTCAATTGCTTACACGCCGAGGTGGCGGGATAGTTAGCGAGTTCTACTTGTAAGTGGGTTTGTAAAGAGGTCGCGGATTTTACAGCTACTGCGTCGGACTCAATTAGATGAAGTCCGAATGCGTAAACGTCGGTGAGGTAACCTTTGAGTGCACATAAAGAAACCATTCCTGGTAGAAATCCCTGAGCCTTACACTACGATGTATCCCGTTTCGTATGTGCTGATTTCAGATGTTTTATTTGTAATTTATTTTGATGTTGTAATTTGTCATTTATAATTTCCGAACCGGTTCGCGAACCGGTTCGCGGATCGAATTAATCGAACTGGAACTGAACCGGAACAAAATAAATTAACCTGAACCTGAACCGTAACCGAACCCGTATTTTTTTCGGTTCGACACACTGGTTGTAAGTAGCGCTCTGTTCTGTCTACCCCTTCTTCCTGTGTTCGTCCTTTGCGCTAATTTTGTGTACTATGTTTAACCAACTAGGCCATCAAATTATTTTGTTGCTTGTTGAGAGTGGTGTACATATATACACAATTTAACTGTCTGGATGATTTAACAGAGGCGCTATTAAATATTATTCCAGTAATTTACGGCAGCGGAGTGAATCTACAGGTTATTTTACGCCAAGAACACGCTCTCTGAATGGGCAAGTTGTAAGACACCTTTCTGAATTGATAATCCCATCCTACAAATTGGCTGTTTTAATAGCCCATTCATTTTAACTGAATTTCATCTTAATTTCATTTCATTTATTAATTCCTTAAAGGCCCCTTTTGCAAAGGCGCTACACAAAGAGGGGGCTGCCAGGTATCAAATGCACTATGAAAAACATGCAAGAGCAAACAGAACGTAACGGCGCAAGTGAGCTGGCGTATACTGGCCATCTCGAAGCAACTCGAGACTGAGGAAATAAAAAGGTGGGCACCAAGAGAAGAGAAGAACGTCTCAAGCACAGTCAAAATTTTATTGCGGACAGAACCCTTTGTATAGGGATTCTGTTCGAACGCCGTCTCTTCTATGGGTGCGTGCTTCTGTATTTCCTGAATCTCGGGTTGCTTCAAAATACAACAACACCGGTTATATCGTCGTACTGTCGTAGTGCCCTGTCTTTTACGACCCTGGTTTTTGGTTCGAGTGAACGATGGACGCGAAAATATTGAATTGACTGCTTATTTCTGTATTATTTTAATGAGCACTGTGCCATGTGCTTGTTCTATTGTAAGGCTGATGTTTTGTGCCCGCTAACTAAACCTCGAGCCCCAATACTGGAAATGACGCCTAAACGAAAAAGAGAAAAGCTAATGCGTCTGCTTACCTCGTATGGGCTGTTGACCTTGTTGACGTAGAGCTGGGAAAGCTTGAGGGCCTTGTCGAAGGTATGTCCGAGCAGAGCGTGTCCAGTCAGCACCTTGGTCTCAAGGGGTCCGAGGGCACCGAGCACAAACTCGACGAAGTAACCGTAGGTGGTGTTTTGCACGTCGTTCAAGAAGGGCGTCACGTAGTGGGCCAGGGGCGTGCTGGTCACCTCGGTGGCGGCCACGACCTCCTGGAGAACTTGGTAGAAGTCGAAGTACGGTGGGAGCTCTCCCACGGCACGCTTGTAGTGCTCCTCGTAGATGGGCGTCTCGAGGTCCTCGGGGTAGCCGTACCTTGTGGTAGGGTACTTGGTGGACTGGTACGGGGCCGGCAGCACTTCCTCGACAAAGTCGGTGCGGTCGGTCTGGTTCAGTGTGGTCTTCCAGCGGAAGGTCAGTTTGTACTGTGGACAGCAAAATCCTAAAGGTTAGCGGTATTCCTCGAAGTATGGTCTAAGTAAAGTACTTCGCCTAATTAAAAAAAATGTATATATATATATATATATATATATATATATATATATATATATATATATATATATATATATATTTATAATATTCCCGACTCAATTGTGGTACCCCAAACTCAAACAATATTTATTACCTGCATTGCGTAAGATGAAATACGTTCCGCGGAGTTTTACCAGGCTATCATGCGGAAGAAATGAACAGCAAATGAATAAAGAACACAAAGGGCACATCTTTTATGTGAGGTTTCTTGTGCCATGCGACCTGTAACTTGCAAAGAAGAATGGTACTCATGCTTTTCTTGCAAACTTTCCTCTGAACAGTTTTACAACTCACACTGCAGATCTATTTTACCTACACATCTACAGCGGCAACAGGGCCAATCATTTAGAAAGAAGATGAACTAATTTATTCTTCTTTTTTAAGCGCTAATAAAAATCTTTAAAGCTGTTCAGATTTCACGCTCACCTCATCCACGGGATGAACGGTGCTGCGGACAACACGAGCTTCCCACTTCCTAGCCACGTGCCACGGGTTGGTGAGGACGTCGACGAAGGCACCGAGGAGTCCCTTCTCCTTGGTGTAGCGCTGGAAGGAGAACGGCACGTGGAGGTCGGGGTGGCTGGACAGTCCCTGGACGTGGAGTCCAAGACCAAGGGCTTCGTGTCCGAAGGTCTTCTTGAACTCAAAAGGCTTGGCCTGACTGTACAGGACGCTCATGGTGGCCATGACAGCGCGCTGGGGCGGCGTGTAGAGCACGGCAGGCGTGGTATACGTCACCGACTTGGTATGGTGGGTGAAGAACTTGGTGTAGCGGGGGCGCACGGTGAGGGCGACGGTGTGGTTCACTGACGAGTACTGGAAGGCGAAGTCGTAAGGCAGGGTGAGCCTGGTCTTTGCCAGGGTGCGCACACCGGCGACGACCTTGGTGAAGGGAGTCACCGTGACCACGGAAGAGACAGCCGAAGTGTACACGCTGTGTGAGAAAAAGTGTACGTCGTGCTTTCAGACCGGAGCACGACCACGAATTGCAAGATAAACAGAATCTACGGCGGCATACGTTAAGGACCAGGAGCGGCATAGCCGGTGGTATTGGTTGCTGGTTTAGGTAATCGAATTGTAGACTTCGATAGATTTATCCGTGTTGCGCAGCGACGGCTGAAGGCTTTACCGGATTACTTATCCATGCTTTCACAACGACTCACGAGTTTCGTAATGTTACTACACAGTTTTTTTAAGCAATTGACTGGCACCTTATAATGTTGTGAAAAACAAATCAGACTTCTAAAGCCCTAAAGCAGGCGAAACCAGGTTTTCTAAGCATACGGAGTGCTTTTCGCACCTTCGCGTAAGGACAAAACTCATCTGGTAGGAATACAGATTAAAAGGTTCGAAATTTACGGAAACCACTAACAGACCTCAAATATAATTAAGTTTAGATGATCAGGTTGGCAGGGGAGTACCAGGCACAAGGGTTGTGTTCATAGATCCAGCAAAATGTAGAAGCAGCCCGCGGCGCTCCGCTCCCAACATGCACACTCTCTTGCATATTTCTGTTGCGAGCCCTAAAGGAAAATTAATGACGATTATAACTCACCTGGGCTGGACAAAAGTGGAGAGGGCGAGCACACTGGGAAGCCATGTCTTGTGGTGTGGCTGGTAGCGGAGCTTGAAGTCCTTGACGGCCACAGACAGGATGGTCGGGTAGCGAGTGGTCAGGGCCACGGGGAGACCGACCACGGACGGCACCAGCTTGCGGTAGGTGTAAGGCAGGCGAAGTTGGAGGTAGCGCATGTTCACGGGGTGAACCCAGTTTTCGCTAACGTACTGAGCGCCTGCAAAAAAAAAAATATATATATATATATATATATATACAGAGTGAAGCCCACGTATCAAGGGTATATTTCTTGTATATTCCTGTATTTATCAAAATTCTTGTTGATAAAAAAAAAAAAAAACGTTAAGCGAATATATATTAGTGTGCACCATTCATAGCCTGCATTTAATTGACCTGTTGATATCATGGTTACTGAAATGTTCTACCTCTAGATAAATTAAGTTACGTACACCCTCTAGATAAATTAAGTTACGTACGCAGTAGGATTGTAGGTATGCAAGTGCTGTCTATGCATGTTTATGTATATTCAAGCATTGATTCTCACACAACCCATGAGGCGTTGTGACCCATAATTCAGCAGTGCCTAAAAAAACGTATTCTTATAAAGTATGACATGCTGAATCATTAACTACCCACGTATGTTGCCTTAAGATGCCCCCTGATGCTTAAAAACAAAAATCACTGCCCTGGAATTTTTTTTTAACGTTGAAGTACTAAGTTACGACATCCTAGACGTTGTTTTTGTTCACAAGGTTTGGACCAGTCCTTACCCTTGGAAAGAAGCTCTCCGAGGAAGTACTTGTCAACTGGCAGGTACAACTCGGTTCCCAGGAAAGACGTGGAAAGACTGAGCTTGGGCTCATCCACAACGGTCGTCGTGTCGAAGTTGAACTGTGGAGCATAGCATCAGTCATAATCAATACCCACGAAGTTTGAAAATTTTTAAAGCTTTCGAGGAAGCTTTTTATGTTCCTCAATACTGGCAGGCCTTCGTCAGAAAAAGTGTGGTAATACTGTCTCAATACTTTTCTTTATTTTCTTTTTCTGAACGTTAACCACCATGACTAACTAAGGCGATATTAATCCCATTCAGCTGTCTATTATACTAGATCATCGTTCATTAGGAACACTCTAGAACCAATTACGAAGCAATGTCCCCAGTACCTTCATAACTAGCCCTGATCTGTAGTTATTAAAATGTTTGACTATAATATAAGCGTAACTACTGGCAGCCGAAGTGACGCGGAGGTTTAACTGGTATCCGGTATTTACACTTATTATGAGAGCGCCGTAGTTGCACTAATCCGGAAGTAGAGACAAGCTTCTGCAAGAATTTTCTTGTTTCCTCTCATTTTTTTATATAAGCTAGTAAAGCAGACCAATGACGCTGAGTTCATCCACTGATATATCTTGAAAATAGAAGTGCCAGACAGCTTCACTTTTCCCACGCAAAAAAACAACACACACCAGAGAATAGAACCAGGATCGATTTCCTTGTGTCGATGGACTCTATGGCGAAAACTCACTCTGAGTGCTGAGGAGCACCCTTAATTGGTTATTGTCTTTTATCTTCAAAACGCCGTGAATCAATAAAAGACTACTGCGAGAAGTTGAGGCACCTTTCGGCCCCCTTACCTGCTTCTCGAGGACGTCGAGGAGTTGGCTGAGTGGCTCGTACGTCTCGTACTTGTCGAAGATCTGGCGACGGACCCTCTGGAAGGCTTCGGCGAAGACGGTGACTGGGCCTTCGTGACGGAGCAGGTACTTGCCGAGGGTCTCGAGACCCTTGCTCACGGCGGTCACCTGGAAACGAAGTTGATGTCAGTTCGTTCGGTCCTGTCAGGACAAACTTTAGTCCTTGTCTAAACTCTGTGCGAAGATCACGATAGACCTTTTTCAAAAGTACGCGCCCTCCAGTAGCCACTCCGACGCTGCCATCTTTTTCTTTTGTTCACTTACTTGGACCATGCATTGAATACAAGAGCCGCGTAAGCGTTTGGAACGCACTCGCGTATAGATCTGTTCGACACGAGTGCTGCGTCAACACTCGGTGCACACTCGGATCCAATCACACGCCTCACGCAGGAATCAATGTCCAAAATAGGGCTGCCGCCCGTGTCGCTTCACGGGATTTTGAAAATATTATTTTCATTTTCCCGGACGGGTCGAGAGTTTATGTGGCAGCGCGGTACTGGCTGTTCAATCTCGTGTATCTCTGTCATATTTGTTAAATCAATGAACGAAAGAATAGTAACAGACAAGCAGAATCTAAGGGTTCGAGTGCAAGCTGACTGGTCAGCTAGGTTCGCTTAATGTAAGGTGAACATCTAATGGGTGCTCACTTAACGGTTTTACGCTAAAGTATTTGTATGTTTGAGATGTGACGGAAATAATAAAGAAAAGAAAACTCAATATGCTTATGTAAGTTTTGTTTCATATCTTCTAAAAAATGACTTCGTGCCTTTTCGTGACTATGAAGCCGAGAATCTAAAATGAAACTGTCTTCTCTAACGTACCAAGAGTCAGGCCATGTCAGCCCAGCAGTTTTCGAGACTTTACTCATGTTAACAAGTTCGGAATTCAAAATAACTTTTTGATGCGCATTAAAAACAAACAAAATTTTTTTCCAAAACTTGCGCTCGCCATTCGTGTTCGGCCAAGGCTGACGTTCCTCACTGTCACGATGACTTATCTTGCGTTTTCTTTGTTGGGGCAAAGCCAATGTAAGCCGGCTGCGTTGCAAGGTAGTGAATATACTCGAAACTAACATCGAAGAGGTGAGAGACGTAGGGGCCCTTGGTGAACTCGACTCCGAAGAGGAGAGCACGGGGGATGACGGTCTTGTTGCTCTGAACGTAGGAGTGGTAGGCATGGACTCCAAAGTCGTCGGTCTCTGCAAGACATCACAGAAGAGCTGCGTCAGATATTTTTTTATGCTACTAATAGCTGCATATCGTTGAATACACCCCTAGGACCAGGCATAATAAATGTCTTCAGTGTCAATGGAAGATTGCCGCGAAGATAGCCAGTTCAATTACCTTACGCACTACAAGCCCTTCAAGCCGAAAGTACTTTCAGAGGACACAATGCCATCTCCAAACGTCATGTGGAGGTCCCGCTGTCATTGAATACACGTACTAAAGCTACTCCTTAAGGCTCTTCACATAGTCTTAATACATGACTTCGTCATTTTACAAGACGCACTGGGGACACCTTTAAAACGACTACTACGGAAAGCTTTGAAGACGTCTCTAAAACAAAAGTACTGACAATGATCTAGCTTCAGATGAATTAAATCGTTAGCCTTTTCTTTAAAAAAAAAAATTCGTGAAGGACAATTTTTTTTGGCCTTTTATTAAGGAATTACGGACATCCGTGAAGTGACTCAAATGCGCGTCTGTGCTTGCTTTATTACAGTCATAGCGATGTGCGGTAAATTTCCCGATAACATCCAATAGTGACGTCTCCTAGGTAGTTCAAGGCAAGTCACCCAGAGAAACGCCGACAGAATGTCTTTTCTGGCAGAAGAGATGCCGCGATCGTTTTAGGACTACTTGAGTTGTTTGGGGTCACTGACAGGATTAGAAGGGCAAGGCGTCTCTTTCGGACACCTGGCCTCCGGCACGTGCTCGTTGCCTTCCACCGTGCTTTGGCTGCACGGTCGAAGCCCACAATCGCTGATGTATTACCGAAGGTAAAAAATTCGCGCCGGAGGAGAAACAGTTGAAATTCCTCTGCGCTATTCTCATCCTGGAGGTGACTACACCTATGATCGGAAGCAGCGGCGTAGACTTTCCATTTTCCCGGGGGGGGGGGGGGGGGGGGGGGGGGGGCAGGCTGAGTTTTTCCGGGGGGTGCTGCGCATTATGTTTTCACCAGAACTGGAGATTGAAGCTAACGAAACCACGCTGTAATTCCATTTCCCATGTATTTTGTCAATAAAGGCAACGTGCGCGTTATTTTGCTTACATGCCGCTATTAGAAGCTCGTTACATGGCACGTAAACAGCGTCTCGGTAAGGATCATGGCCCGGGCCCGGGGGGGGGGGGGGGCACGAGCCCCGTTGCCCCCCCCTTCCCCCCTAGTCTACACCTATGATCGGAAGGCACACTCACGGGAGTAGGTAGACAGGAAGTTGAACTTGGAGTAGTGGACGCCGAACTTCTTGTGCCAGAGAGCGGGCAGCAGCTTCTTCACGCGAACAGCGCTGTGATACAAAAGCAACGAATTTTTTTTTAATTACTATTTTTTTATTAATTGTTATTTCAGATAATCCAAGCGCTTGACAAACTGACGTGAACCCGTGGGCTAACTTTTGTAACGCTCATCCTGAAAAGTGAAAGTGCGCGTGCACCGTTTTGATCGGTAAAGTGAAAGTGCGCGAGTGAACGGGGTCCCATAGTTTCGACTTCAGTTTCACGAAATGTCGTTACCAAGGGTAACGAACTCTTTTTATTATTACATATTCGCTTTTACGAGCACGATACACGAACATACTACCAAACATTGTAAGTTTGATTATGGTTCCTTCATAAACGCACATGAAGGTATCTTGGGTTCTGTCCACTGACTGCTTAAATCGACTTTCTCGAGTAGTAGTGGAAAATTAATTATTAAATTACTTTTATTAAATTAAATTATTTTATTAAATTAATAAAATGAAGCTACACTTGTTATTATCTAAACGACAGAAATTTTGGAAAGCTTTGCCGTTTCTTACCCTGAGAACATGCAATAATAATTTAAAAAAAAACGATAGCCCCCATTTCGTGTACACATAGTCACTTACCCTTTCCCATCAATCCCCACAATCCTTTCCCTCTCGCCTCAGTGACACCAACCAATAGACGAGTGAACCTTTCAGTGAATAAATATATCTTTTTTCTTCTCTCTTTCTCTCGCTTCGTCTTTCTGTATCCCCATGGGGTGTACACACATAGAATATAGAACCAGCACTAGTCTTTTTGGTTTTTTTTTCCACCTTCCCACGGATTGCCATTGGCCTTCATCGATCTCTGAAAGAAGCAAATACCCGACAACATTCAACCAGTGATCATTTGATTTGGTAATGGCGGCGGCAGCAAGGACTCGCGTGATTTCTGCGTTCTGTCCTCTGGGCACGACCTGACCGATTTGACGTCACCTGTCCCCCAAGAGCCGATCGGTGGTCGAAAGGCGGGGCAACTCACGTTGGAACCGAGCACGGAACGGTGGCGTTGGCGTAGGCGAACAGCGTAGAGTAGGTGAACGAGGCCACCTGCAGGTTCAACTCCTTTTGAAGGGTGAGGACGACGCGAGCCAGCACCGGCTCGGGTGGGTGAGAGGCCATCAGGAGAACCAGGGCCGCGTTACGAAGTTCATAGTCCTCGTCGGTGTTGAAGTAGACGGTCTGGGCAAGGGGCTGGAGCTGTGGAAGCGAAGCAAAGTGTGTAAGGTCAACAACTCAGAGAAGGAAAATGTTGAATCCGCATTGAAATGCGCGGCTATGGTAAGCTTTGTACGCACCTTCAGGGAGACAGCATCAACGAACGGACAGACATTAAAGTCCTTTCTGTCCGTCTGTTTATGTTTTCTCCTTAAATGCGTTTATTGTGTAACTAGGCCTTAGACGTTTCGGTTTTAACCGAGAAACACAGAGAAACCTCAGTTTCTGTCAAGCATACGAGATCGGTTAATACCGGAAAGCGCCAATAAGCAACCGTTGATGTCAAAAATACAAAATCGGCCAAAATTGAAAAACAATGATTTCTGGCAATTTTTGCGCCAGATAGGCGGGTTTCGTCGAAGACCTCCCTTCTTAGGCTCGCATTTTTCGTTTTTCGTAAGATTTTTTTCACTGATAAGTGTTTTTTAACGTCCGTCCAAAACAGATACTCGAAATGCACCGATAACTAAGAAATAAATAAACAAAAAAAAATTATTCGCCAATTTCTCTTGCAAACACCAGAAAAATAGACCTACGTATAACCAACCCACTCATCATGACTTTGATGGTATGCTTTGGTGTCTCTTTCGTTACATTTTGGTGGGCGCCTCTCCTGAAATATTAAGCTGACCACAGGTCATAACCGGTTCGCTATGATAATTAGGGTGTGTAACGTTCGAATCAAAGTGCTTAATCGCGTATCTAGCTTTATCAAACAGTCTTCCTCCTCTCCAGGTAAGTAATCGCTATGCCACCTTTCTGGAGACTGCGTTACAGGTGCTCTTTGTTTTTGCAGGTTCCTCAGTAAAACGTCGTAATTCTTTCTTCATGTCATGCCATAATGAAACTGTTTTTTTCGCCAATTAACTTATTGTCATTCGTGGTGATGAAACATCATCATCATTTCGCGAGAACGCTCTGAAGAGACTTGATTACATGTATATATCAACGTTACTAAATCACCTCAGTTATGAAACTTCCGCGGTGGGGGGTACCCCCGTCCCACTTCACTCCCTTCAATCCGCCTCCCGCCGTTTGAAGTGCCATCTAGATTTTCGTTTCAAAGCTCTGTGTTTCACAGAGTACGATGAAACGCCATCAAGACGCTGTGCTTCAAAACATACGTATTTTATGGAATAGACTGCAGTTACCATCGCAGTCGTCCTCCACAAACGGTGGCGCGTCGAACGATGGAAGGCAAACCGTGGGGTGAGAGGGGGAGGGAGGGGGCATTTTCGTGCAAGCAGGGTCTATGGGCCGTTCCATAACTGAGCTAATCTACTAACTTTGGTGTTCATGGCTCAGCATTAACATGGTTTTCACGTGACGTCACCGCCTCGTACTGGTGGTCATTCTGAGTCATTCCTAATTGTTTTTGTTGTGAAAAACAAATTGTATAGTGTGAAATGCATGCTGCGGAAGGTACACTTATAAACCATTCCTTAAAAGCACCGAAGGAAGGCGCTGCTGGAAATTTACGACCCCTAAAATAAGATAACAAACAATCCCCACAATAGTACCGCTTCTTGTAACGTTCATAAAATATTGTGTGACCGGCTAGCCGGAGATTTTTTTTATTAATGATGTAGGGCGATTGATGCCCTCTTGTAATTGTTGAATACCACAACACAAGAACCTCGATAAATCCCCACTTCGTGATTTTCGTTTAACTTTGCCGTCCCAGGAACTGTGACATCAACAGACTCGGGTGCCAAAACGGAGTGACCGAAAGTCTCTTGGCAGCCAAGAGACGGGTTGTGTTTGTAAAGGAAACAGTAAATAAAGTCACGAAGACGTCGACTTACTTCGGCAGCATGGTGCTTGACACTGTGACGCAGGGCGTACAGTGTGACAAGACGAAGGTACTGGCAGGACTCAGACTGTTCCTCCTCCGGAAGGGTGGCCTGGCAGAGGTGGTGCTTGCCGAGGACAACGGGGACGAGGGCCTTGAGAGCCTCAGGGTGCTGCAGCTGGGTCAGGGCGTGAACCAGGACGGTGACCTGGTGGAACTCCTTGGCCTCGTTCAGCTTCTGGACAAGAGCCTGCGGGGGAAAAAAAGATCAGGAGCCAGATCGTCAAGAAGTTGTTAACCGAAGATGTACGAGAATCCAGTTCATTCTTTGTGCTTCGTCGTGTCATGTAGCCTCGCGCCGATAATCAAGGCTTAGCAATTCCGTCATACCCGATATATGGGATTGGGAAGAAAGCGAGCCCTAGTGCAAATCTCCAGACGAGTTTGACATGAGCCCAATATTCGCAATCAAATTCTAACCCTTTTTATTGATATGTAATCAGAAAACCATCATCTCCTATCTTCAGAAAAATAAACAACGAGTTGAGTTATTAAGATCATGTCGATTGTTCTCAATGCATGCGACATTAAAACATAGAGCTGTTGTCATTAACTGTGCATTAAAAAGTCGGATTTGTTGTACGGAGAATTTGACGGTTGGTATTCAGTTGGCCTTAAAAATGGCGTCTCTATGAAAAGGATGTCTCCACAGTAAATGTACAGCTTAGCCTGCGCGGTATGACCGCGAACCTGAGGTCCTTACCGTTCGTCACTCAGTAGCGATTACAAAACCGTATGTCGGTACGCTGCTCGTCCAGATCCAGCCGGACGGGGCCGCAACCGTGTTCGCATTTTCTTGCGGCATTTGTGGCGTTCCTTCTTTAGCGCTTTTGAAGCACAGACACGTCTAGATCACTGACCTAGCTCTGTCGCGGACATCTGACCCCTCTGCCCTTACCTGGACATACTTGAGGTAGTCCTGGCTGGTGCACGTCACGGGGACGCCGGTGTACTGGGGCTCCTCGGTCTCAGTCTCCTGGTACTGGCGGCCGGAGATGCGGGGGCGGTACGTCTTCATCGCCCGGTACGTGGGCAGGTGGGGCGGTCTCTTCTTGATCGCGTCAACCTCATTCATCTTCAGCATCTTGCCGTAGGGGACGTGGCTCGTGGTGTCGTACAGGTGGCAGTGCTTGCTCACGACCTTGGCCAGTGTGAGGTACGCCGTCGAGTAGAGGAGACGGTCCTTCTCGAGGACTCCGCCTGTGGCCAAGTCCTGGTGCAAGACGAAAAAAATTGGGTTATGGGGATATTTATACAGCGTGTAGTTGGTCAGCCATTTAAAGTTGCGACGAGCCACTCGCTGTAGATGAGCAATTTAGCCAGTGCAGTACAACCGCTAGCCTGGGGTCTTTAACGTGCACCACGCAGTAGTGATACACGACCGCACACCGGTACGATGCTCATCCAGATCAAAACGGGCAGGGGTGGGGCTCGAACCCAGGATCCCTGGGTTCTGCAGCGCGAGCTTCCGCTCCACGCGCGTCGAGCTGGGTGTGCGCTTTAGCCCACTCGGCCACCGATCCCCCCTGGTGCAAGACGATGGAAGACAAACCCTTGAAGACGTGGTTCCGGGATTGTTTTTTTTTTTTTTACGGGTGTTAATCATATATATTTTAATAATTTTATGTACCTTTGTCTAAAAAAATGCACTTGTCGCATATAAACTAGGCTTAACCACAACGTTTAATTAAAAAGCGGTTTCATGTACTTTTGTTGCAATTTTCCTCCTGGCTTAACGCATTCGAATAGTCTGATGTCCACTAGCATTTTATTTGCTTGAGTGTGAAGTCGTTTATTGGCCTAATCGAACTTTTTTTTTTTGTCATTTCATGAGCTCGCATATTTGTGCTAGGAAAGGCACGGTTCTACAAAAACGTCATTTGTCGTGTCTTTGTAACTTTCTCACAGTTCAAGTTCCATTTTTGTGTGTACTTACCAACGACTATACTATAATCCGGGATTACAGCGGGCACGCTGTAAGACTTACATCAGAGACATTAAAAAGAATATGGTATTTGACAGCTTAAAAATGCGGGGCACGGCAAGTACCCAGCATGTTAAGCGGAGCTCAAGTATTGTCTGCTACTATTGGCAGGGGTTGTGATGACGTCAGAAAGACGCCGAGCTCTGATTGGCTCTGATTGAAGGATAGTGGTTAGACCTCAATGCGGATTGCTTAGAGTTCTACCCACTATATTTCAATCAAAGCCAATCAAAGCTCACCGTTTTGACGTCACCACAACCCCTGCAAAGAAGCAGACGAACTTCGGCTCCGCATATGATCGCTCCGAACTCAATGTTGCGACATTAGCCGATAAGAAGGCCAAAGAAACCCGACGGGTGAATTGTGAACAAACCAATCCCTGCTCTGCGTTTTTCAAGGTGTTAGTGACTCCACATGTGACATTAGATACATGCAGCAACAACACTACTCCAATTTCATCGCTCGATCAGTCATATATTGAACGCATGGACAGCCAAAATATAGAGATCCGGACAAGTGTACCAAGTAAGATTGCATCTTTGAGATGAAGGACGTACCAGGAGCAAGTCGAGGACTTCGGTGCTGGGCTTCACGAGGGAAGTCTGGAGGGAAGTGAGGACGTGGACGGCTTCCACGAGGGTCAGCTTTTGCTCAAGAAGGAGCCTGAGGACCGTCTTGGCGGCGGCGTCGGTACCAGCAAGGCTGAGCACGTCAAGCAGCAGCTTCCTGGAATGGCAGTCAACGACTCTCACAGTCCGTATTTGTTCGAGTGTACTATTTTTGAAGACAGCTATTTTTATTTGAATTTTTACTTTGGTTTGACGGGGAATTGAATATCCTGCGAGTGTTCAATCATTGTTCGTCACGGGCCTTATAGGGATGAATTGTTTCATAGCACGCGTCTCAGCCTGAAACAGACCTGCTGGCAGAGTTATTGTTTCTAAGGCTTCTGCATGACGGAACTATGAAGATGTTCTTGTTTACCGTAAACTTCTCCGCGCCACTCTGGATTGCCGACATTTGCAACATTTAAACGCCGATGCAACGTTGTGCTTGTTCCCTTTCTTTTGCATTTTCAGTTTTACCAGGTTTCCATATGTGTAACTTTAAGTAGATCGTTCGCTAACCTACTTTATTGTCCGTTGCCCATGGTTGTCAAGTTGCATATTCTAATACAACAAATCGTTTTAACATTTTTTTTTGTAAATCCTATGTGCTAATAAATTCGAAATTGAGTAAATGAGATTTCCGGCGGTATAGAATCCAGTAGCTGTTGCGTGTTGCGTTAGTTACCTGAGTCCGCCATTGTTTGATCACGCATTGCACACGGGGGCTACGTAAACGTTAGCGTCAACTCTGCTCAGCTCGTGTCGGAAGCGAGCGACACATCGGCGCTGGACGAGTACACTAATCCTATCAGACGGTTCGTGCCCAATAAATGGCGACCACGAATGTTGCTTGATGGAGTCCTTGAAAAATGTCGATGCCCATGCTCGCGAGTGACCCGTGCTGGCATCTAGACCCTTGCACGAGGAATATACGTACCTCTCGATGTACTCCTTCTCGCTGACAACCTTGACATTCTCCAGAGGAACGACCGTCTGCAGCAGGAGCTCGAAGTCGTACTCCTTGAGGACATTGACTGCGGTCAGCAGCTGCGACACGAGGTCGGCGTAGTCATCCTTGACCTCAAGGTCGTCGAGAACCAGAAGACCAGCGAGCTGGTCGAGAAGACCACGGACGGCTGTCCTGGCCTCCACAGTATCCACGGGCCCGTACAGACTCAGGTGCTCGAGCTCGAAGAGCTGTCCATGCCAGGAGTAGTGCTGCTTGGGGTAGACGTACGACAGGTTGGTGTAGGTCTTGACATCCTCCAGAGGACCCACGGCGGTGAACGGAGTGGTCTTGAGGAGCAGCTCAAGGTGCAGCCTGAAACAGAAATGGTGTTCTTAACGTAAGCAATGGAAACCTATATTTTAGAGGTCCAGGTAGAAAAAAATAGTAACAGAAAACCGAAAGAAACATCCCCGTTAGTTTCAGAACCGCGGTCGACTTTTCGCCAGAATACTAAGGTTCTTCGACTATCGTAGTGGGGCGATGCAGTTCAGATCATATTTGGCCTCACTTCTTGACAGTATATGTCTCCCATTATTTTTTGAAGCAGACAACCGCTGTGTGGTCCCAATCATCGTATTAACGCTCTGCAGCCATGGAGGATGTGACATGATCCTATAAGAACGCTGTCAACGGCTAAAGCTTTTTTTCTAGATCTGACTTCTATTTTCTGCCACGAAGAGCGAATGGGACATGCAAGAAACGTACACGGACGTAGAAACCAGCTGTTGCTTTCCGGAGGTGAGGACCTTCTTGTCAATAGCCTTAACTTCTTCAAGAACGCCGACCTCCTGGTGAAGGCTGACGTTGTAATGAACGGTCAGGAAGGATTCGGCAAGGTCGTTCTTCTGTAAGTACACAAATATCCACAATTAGGGCGCTATAAAAAATGCTTACCGATATTGTGTCTATAAATACGTGTCAGCTTTCACTGTGTATGTCCTTGTTCTTTGACCCATAAATGCCGTTTCGATTCCCGACTTAACCATGACGTTTAGGCACTATGCTTTAAAAGTTTCCATACAAATTAAAACTGAGCAACTTTCAGACGCACTATACATATGTGCAAACGAAGGATATTAATGAAATCCGAGACCCACTTTTATCACACTGCAGTGTTATCTGGAGGCCCCAGTTATAAAGCGGAGCGCAAGTTATGATTCTCAATTTTTGAGTAAGGTGCATCGTCGAGAAGAATCACATCAGATTATCCTACGCCTGGCAAATTTTTCTTCCGTATCTCCTTTAATTGCGCGTTTTCAACTTGTGGCCAGTCAGCTTTTGGGGGCAGTTGTATTTCAGTAGAAGGAGGAGAAGTTGGTCAACCAGACCACATGATTTTTTGTTGTTGTTTCTTTCGCCGACAAAAAAAAAAAAAAAAAAAAAAAAAAAACTCAAATTGGCTGAGTGACTGACTGATGGAGGGGCGGTAGCTCTACTGACCAGATGGGTCTCGGTGGGGCAGCCGCCTCCGTAAGGGTCGACGTAGTCCGAAAGCTCAGGCTCCAGAGTTTCGCTGAGGGCCTTGGGCTGGTGCTTCAGGCAAGCGTGGGGGCATCCGCTGTGCTCGTAGTCGACGTGCTGGAAGACGGTGGTCTTGCCCACGCACTTGTGGTAGTTCTTGGTCTTGGTGAAGTTCAGGACGTACTCGTCGTGCGGGCTGGACAGCACGTTGTACACGGTCTCGCAAGTACCGACCAGATCGTCCTGCAACACGGAATCGTCTCAATGAGATTAAACAGGCGCCAAGACCGGTGAAAGGACCACAAAATTGGGTGAGGCTAGCTTTACCTACAAGGTGGAAACCTCCCATGTCTGTGGTTTGACATCCTTTCGTATGGTTCGCTCGGTATTTTTTTTTTTTACATATTTTGCTACTTTGAACTGGGTGTAAGCGTGAGTTGCATTATGCTACCAAACGTGCAGCGATATGATGCACGCTACCTAATTAAGTAGCAACTGAAGAATTAAGTTCAAAACAGTTGACAATTCCTTAATGTCAAAAATCTGTTAACGTAATCCTAGATAAGCGCCTTCGCCATACGCATAAGTGAAATGTTGAGTATTTGAATATATTAGCGTTTGAAGGAGCGACCTTGGAATTTAATGTCAATGATTCAAACGTGTGAGAGTCATCTAAAGCATCGGAAATAAAACTTGAGTCGTATAAGTCTTTACAAACAATTGCGCATGCGTACTGCATATGCGCACGAAATATTTTTTTTCTTCAAAGTATTAAGTATTCGCGTATGTCGTTCCGCATTCAGCGCCAAATTTTTATGTGCTGGCATAAAGGCTATTATTAAATTCAATTAGGCAATGAGTGGTGTAGCCACTAAAAATGGTAAGTAGAGCGCAAATAACGAAGGCATAAAATAAGGAACTTACACAGGACACGCTGTGTCTTGTTTAATTATTAATCTTCTGCCTTCGTTCTGTGCGTGTTGTTTGGACATTTTAGTGGCTACGAAGTAATTCTCCCCCATTGCCGCCTTGATTCATGGGTTAAGCTACGGCCGTCGCTCCTGCACCGTACCTCGTAGACCTTGTAGACCACGACGTCGTCTTTGAGGGTCAGGGGCACCTCCTTGGTGAAGGGCACCTTCTTGTAGCTGGGGTTGCTCAGGGTCAGCACGGAGGCCAGACCACGGTACAGGTTCACCACCTCTTCAGGCACGCCCACGGGCACCTCCAGGCTTTCCACCTGAAACGTCGATGCCGAAGGGTTTCTTAAAATACAAAGAACTGTACATAACTTGTGGTGCATCGCCAAGCGGCTAACAGTGGCGGACAACTTCACGCGACTATAAGGTGATCAACAGTATACCTTTTTAGCATCCCAAACTGTTACTTTAAATGTATATTTGCAACTGAATGTTGCCATAACTCAGTTTAATACATCTAAGAAGTGCTAACAAAATTAAATGCCTCTCGATGCATATAATCACTCCTGGGTAGTTTTGAGGGCAGTCTTTTTCTGCGCACCTCGACAGTATGGAAATATTTTTTTTCCCTCTTGCTACTTCATGACGTTTCGATGATGCCTTCCTAACTATCCTCCCTCACTCTAAACACATTTCATTTCATTTTTTACTTCCTTAAAAGCATCCAACTTTTTTTGTTCGGCTTACCATTACACTTTTTTATTGTTAGCTCATATCTGGGGGTTTTCTCAGTCACTACAAAAATATATGTACAACAGAATATAGTGTATGGCTCATTGCTTCCATGAGAATGAAAGGTCCATATAATCCAATGATCAAAAGACGTCGTTTCAATAACTTACACTGTGGTCGACAAGCTTCAGCACCACGGGTCCGGTCTGGTAGGACTCGAACACGGGCAGGGGCTGGTGGTAGACGCCGGGCACTGGCTCAGTCTGGTCCTCGACCTCCTTGTCGTACAGCGTCGAGGTGACGTTGAGGAGCTGTAAGAATATACCAACGGTTCTAATGTCATGATTCTTCTCTTCTGCCGTTATACATTCATATACAAGTTCGAGGCACACTCAGAATACTTCGCGTTCTTCCTGGGATAGTCAATTGTAACAGAAATAACCGATGCCCCTCAGCTCCGTGGCCAACTGGTTCCCAGAATGCAATGCACGCGCTGTTGCATGTCGGGATATATGGAAGTAGTCTATCGAGGTTCGGGTGCATAAGAAATACATTGGCGTATTTTAGGGACTTTGACAAAACGCATGCTAATAATAATAATAATGTTGGATGTATGTTTATACAGCCGGAAGTTAGTCAGCCCCGATGGTCGTCTGGTGTCTCAGCTTTAGATGAGAAATTAAGCCTGTGGAGTACAACCGCTAGCCTGGGGTCTTTAACGTGCACCACGCAGTAGTGATACATGACCGCACGCCGGCACGATCATCATCAATATAAAAACGGGAAGGGTGGGGCTTGAACCCAGGATTCCTGGGTTCTGCAGCGCGAGCTTTCGCTCCCTGTGCTCCGAGCTGGTGTGAGCTAGTGCACTCGGGCGCTGATCACCTTGCATGCCCGCGCAAAACTGCACGAATCTACTGAGTAGCATATGAACGCAGGTGCGCACGACAATAATTTCCTAGTTGAGTGTCGTAGCGCCAGTGATTCCCTGCAGTCATTCATATTGAATAGGAGGAAGGGAGCGGAGCGTGTTAGAAAAAATAATGGTAAAACTGCAAGATTAACAAATGCCACTAAATATTGAAAACTCGCTGAAAGTAACAAAATATTTATGAACCTGTACAAGAGATGGAATATTTATTTAGTTTTTGTGTATTTTATTTTCCTTCCTTTTTTTATCTCTCAAAATATAGTATCTTTTTTCCGCTTATATCTATATTTTTTGGGGTTTTTTTTACGCAGGATGCAAAAACACGCTCAGCGGCGACTCGTGTTTTCACTAATTCAGCAGAAGTTCTAACCGTACGCTGACACAGACTGTGCCCTGCTCGGGTCCTATGACGTAGAAAGTCCAGCCCTAAGGCATTTTTATGCTTTGTCCCAGGCAGGATTCACGTCTCACCTGGAGGACGAGACTGCGGCCGGTGCCGGACGCTTCCTTGACGACGACGCTCAGCAGACCGTAGGTTTCCTCTCCAGTAGCGTGCGTGGCCTTGAGCGGGAGGCTCAGGGACACCGCGGTCCGGTACTTGTACAGGTATTCCTGGTTCGGCTCGAAGACTGCGGCGACGCCACAATATTGAAGGGAAATCATCAATACGATCGAGTTCCTCTTGTGTTGAACCTCCGATTGAGGAACATAGACCAAGGCACGAAAACCTGTCTCTTGTATACCTTTAAGTTTTACAGGCTAGGGCACATGAGCCTGGTTGTCTTTTGTTTCTCAGTCTTACAGACTAGGGGAAAAAATTTGGTTGTCGCTTCTATTCATATCAGTCTTCGATAACGTATAAAGAAGTTTAGACATCTGGTACGTTATACCTTGTATACCTCTCAATCTTAAGTAATTTGTACGAAAGTTTGGACAGTGAGAGGGACATTAGTCTGCCCCAGTAAGCGTCAGATGTCTCCGCTGTAGATTATAAATATATTTTCAGTCTTTGCTTAAGATAAAAGATCAGCCTCTCATTGTTTATTTTCCTATCAAACCTGATGTTGCTTACGCGAAAAAAAAATGTTTGGTGTGAAGATAAATGTCGATGTTCCACCCAACTACGGCTGGTAGTTGATAATAAAACGATGTGCTATATACTAAAGAACAAAACGAGCAAATAAAAAAGGTTAGCATTTGACGTGTGTTTAAGAAGTGTTTGCTTTCCGTCTTGATGGAGCGAGGCTAAACGGTGGCGAAACTACGTTTACCTTTAGCCTTCTATACTTGTTTTCACCCGAAAAACTGCAGTAAAATACGTCCGGGTCCTCGAGGAGCATCAATAATTTCCCCCTTTGTCTAAATCATTAAGACATAACTAAGTGCAGTTTAGATTAAATATAAAAAGCATCGCTCCTTCTTCCGACATCCAAATCTTGTAAGAACTACTTAGCGCGGCGTATTAAAAATGCCCAAAACTGCCTTTTTTGTATTGAGGTGAAAGCGATTACAGAGCTTTCTTTTTTCAGCTAAATAACGTCAAAGTTGTCGCTGCAGTTTTTTTTTTTCTCTCTCTTTTTTTAAATGATTGCAAGAACAATATGGTCGATAATTTAAGGATAAATATGACCTTATTTCCAGAGTTTGTCTGCGCACAAAACTGTGATGTATGCATTACTCACGGAGTTCTGGAAGCACTTGGGGCACCTCGACGGCGGCTGCAAAAAGAAAAACACAAACAGAAGTTATTGACTCTCGTGCAATCTTGTAAAATACACTTTCGAACTAGAAACACGCGAATAATTCCCTAAAATTCTTACACCTCCCAGAATTTTAGGTTTTCTTTTCATGTTGTAAAGCTACCCGAGGCTGGTGTAAAATTATTATACTAAAAAACTGAAAGTCAAAGGAACAAGACACGGCATGACGAACGCCTCAAAAGTTGAGGTGTCCTTTTTCCTTGTCTCTTTCTATCCATTTTCGTTGTTCTTCTTGATTCGTATACCGCAGTTTAAGGTATAGTTTTACATCAAGAATAACTTCTACAGGCTTTTCTAGGGATTTCATGTCTTTTATTTTTTTGCACTTTTTTTTATCAGAGACATTAGTATGCCGGCTTGCTAGTTACTGATTCCCACCTTCGTTCATACTGTAATCAAACTGTAGAAGTTCTCGCCCGACGTGCGAACATTAAATCACAACTTGGTGTGTGTAATTGAAGTCCTCTGCTAGCATTTTTTTTTTCTTTAAAATTTATCTAGCGTTATCTTTGGCGAGAGCTTGAGCCAGTAATGTTTTGTTTACTTTTTTCCTACCCCCAGAAATGAATCATTTGTAAGTAACAACAGTCAAGAAAACGCACAATAAATAGTATGTTTAGTTTATGCTAAACACCGATCCAATAGTCTATTGAAATGCATCTAGCTGGCTTCGCTACTTCAAAGCAGCGTTTTGAAACGGCACAGAGCGACTGCGTGAGGGTACCATTAGTAACCTACAATTATATTTCCTAGAGAGTGAGAGATATTTATTATACGCCGATCTTAAATCAATCTCGCGCTGTAGATTGCAGACGTCAAAAGTGGTGCTGTCCAGACCATTGACTAACAACTGATACAACAATGAAGTGTTAGATGCCACAAGTGCGCAGCTTGCAGAAGTCTCCGGGAGAACAACACGTGCGCTGTGACGGCATCGTACCTGTGGGCCTCAAATCAATCGCTAAACGCAAGTTTTTTTAAAAGGAGATTCCTAAGAAACAGCCTGCGTCGACCCTCGAGCCGACAACAGCCGTTGAAGGTCCATCAAACGCCGCGTAGAGTGTTCCTTGAAGACAGCGCACGCGCTGTAGTGCCATCGTAGCAAGGTTTGACGAGAATCAGTGAGCTGCCATCAGTATATGAAGAGGCCTAGTTATGGCCTCTGCATGAGCAGAGTTACTGCTTCACTGGCCGCGTGGTCGGATTGATCGTCTGGAAACCGGGTTTTTAATAGGTAATGCCATTCCCTCCAATCGCGTTGCAGTTACTGCTCCTGGCTACGTTTCTGATGTCGGTTTGCGTATTTTAGTCTACTCGTCAATCGCATTGTTGTTAGTTTTATGAGAGTCAATATCTCTTCAGCATTTGACGAAACCGCCATCTGCATTCAAGTAGTAGCATACGTTGTAAAGCGCTAACTCACCGGCTCGAGAAAAAAAAATATCGCTTGTTTTACCCTCTTTGCGCTGAACACCTAAAGACATTATATCCGTTTGATCAGGTATACTATCGCTAAATGAGTATAATCGTAGATATGGGGTTCGACTCCAGCCGATGCCGGAGGTTCTAGGGTTTGTTTCCATGCGACATGGGGCCTTCGCTGACCGGGGTGCGTCGAGAGTATCCGCTTCGAAGACTCGGAACGCGTTAAGGAGTTGACCAGAATCCAACCAGGTTCTCCCGAGGTTCCAAAAGCACACCTCTGCGGTGTACACGCAGACGCGAGAGGAGATTCACGGGCGCCAACTTACCCGCCACGGCTGCGACAAACGCGAGGGCTACGAGCACCCTCATGGTGATGGGCGAGCTTGTTGTGGAGTCTCTTCGACAAGGACCCGGTGTTACCGAAGCCCTGAGCGTGACTGCCCTGCGGCGGACCAGGGGCAGCTTTTATACGCCGCACAGGTCGAGCCAGGCAAGCGCTTGGCTAAGCAGCGACCGCTGACCGTGGCCGGGGCCCGAGCCAAGGTCGCCCGTTCCAGGCGCTGTCCCATGCAGAAAAAAGGCTCGGTCCTCTCTTCAAACCCCGCTCCTCGCCGCAGCAGCAGTCCTGTAATCGCTGGGCCCAAGTGCTGTAGCTCGGCCGATAACGGTGCACGCACGCCACCGAGAGACGTTGCATTCAGGGTGAAAGTGGCCTTCTGTGTGTCTTGCCCTGAACACCGCCTTCGTCGCGGCCGATGCTCCCGGTGTTTTCTAGGCTTGTCTTGTCATCTTCCGGGGTCTTCTAGTGTTTCCTACAGTCTCATAGAGCCCCCAAGATTATTTCAGGACGGAACAGTCGCCGTGTTGGAACGCGTATTGAAAATCCACCGTTATGGAGCTCGAGTCGATGAAAACTCAACATCTTGGTGTCATTTGAAGGCGAATACTCTCACGCGTTTCTTAGCAAGAGCTTGAAGCTTCCACTTATGCCTCCGTGCCACGCACTCTAAAAATGCCTGAGCATCTATATTCACAGAAAACTTGAGAAACGCCTCTTGGGGCGAGTTCCAAAGCATTATAATGTTGTTCCTCAGTCAATGAAATCTCGGCATTAGCTACTAAGAACACCAAAAAACAATGTACGAAGTAAAATGCACGAACATATTAAGCAAGTCCTTCGTTTCTTAACTTGTCAACGACCTTACTTCCCTCGCTGATTAGTCCAAGGACCGGTCGCCGCGAATGGTGGAGCCCTTTTAAGATACGGCACAAAATATTAACCCGCAGTGAATGCCACCTCACATACGCAGCTTTCCAAGCAGATTACATGTTTGACCAATCCTTTCTTTGGGCTTTTGCCATCCTCTGGCTTTCCACTTTGTATGACCAATATATAACGAAGGATCTCCATCTGGTTTTCGAAAAGATTGCCTCAGCTGCATGACGTTATACTGGCACTTGATATATAAAAAGAAGCACTCGAAGGAAAGTTATGGGACATCATTTTTCTCCGGAAAACGAGACAGGAAATCACGGTGAACATTTTCAGGACCCAAGCAAACGATGAAGCTCAAAATACAATTATATAAAACAATATAAAAAAAAATCCCTGGACATACCTAATTCTTTTGCGTATCTAATCGTATTACGGGCTTTGCCATTCGCTAAGATTCTTCTGTGATTTGCAGTGACTAATTGTCTCCATCTCCTGCAGGAAAGTGAAGTCAGATTATTTAAAGCGTACTTCCAGCTTTCGAAACACAATAACAACAAAAAAATGTATGCGGTATATATGGACGTACTGAATACCGCCGACACGCATTATCGCCCTCTTATCACACCAGTGCTCGGAGTTTCAAATCTGCTCTAAAAGATGGAGGTCAATTAGTGCGATTATACTGAGCATCGGAAATTGCTAAATCATATACGCATGCCCGTTTTCACTTTTTTCAAGTGTTTGGTTTCGAAATTTATGTGTGCATTGTGTGCAATTATGTGTGCAATTATGAATCGTAAATCCTGTGCATATAAAGCGCATGGCATTTATGTCTCTGGGACACAAAACCCCATGTTGGGTAACGGCTCCAGCCTGCAGATATGCACACAAAACTATTTTACACCCTCAAAGGTGTTTAAAGGGTGCTCCAGAGACTCACACAAATGAATATACCCTTGAAGCACCATTATTTTGAATATTACACCTATTTTAATCGCAAGATAGGGCGCTGCTGCCTAAAACACCTATCATTTTTGAAGGGTGTAATAAAGGTGTGGAAGAGAGTGCTGCCGTGGAAAAGGGTGTAAGCCCACCATACACCCGCTTCAACTATTCAGCAGCTTTAGGGGAAGTTGTATAAGGAATGTATACGAATATCGAATTAATATTACATACACCAATGCTTTTGATTTGGGGAATACGTTCCCTGAACTTGGATACATTACTATTTTTTTTTGAAATATTGACGACAACAAAAGGTTCGTAATTGGGAAGGCATGCAGTCACTTGCGAACGAACGCCTTTCAATTATTGTCGAGCGTAAAATGTGGTGAAACAGCCAACCGTATAGTCCTGATTACAGACTCATGAGTGCTTCATTGCGTCAGTAGTTTCTGTGCATCAGTAACTGTACTACGTGATGCTAGCATGCTTGTAAACATGTTGCCCGTAAAAAATCTTTAGGATGCTGCTGAGACTGCCCCAAATTAAGGCGATCGCCAGCTTCCTAAGGGTGTTGCTGTAACGTCCTTAGACGTTAGCCCTATGGTACAAGCTGAGTTACACCCTTGAAGCCGCGGTAGTTACGCCGCCCACATTTCATACAAAAGGCACGATGTTTGCTGGTGTTTTGGTGACAGGATTATATGCGAACGCACCAAAGCACGTTTGCCTTATGCATACGTGTGCTTCGAGCCTGTACGCAGCCGGTCTTTGTACCACCAATGTAAGAGAACTGGTACAAAAAAAAAAAGTTTGAGGCAGTAGGGAGTTTTAGGGAACTGTTTTTGCACCAACGATGTATATGGTACGATTGGCCTTATGTACGAACTGCGCATGCGCGAGTTTTTTGCAATAGCGCATGCGCAGTGCGTATACCGGAGGGCCCATCGTACCATATCCAATGAGCAAAAACGGTTCCCTAGAACTCCCTAGTGCCTGCGGAATGTTTTTTGAATGGTGTATGCGGGGAGCAAGTTCGTCTGCTCCTTTTACAAGGGTTGTAGTGAAGTCAGAAAGTCACCGACCTCTGATTGGCTCTGATGGAAGGAGAGGGTAGACCTCAAGGCAGTTTGGTTTGTGGTCTACCCACTATCCTTCGTTCAGAGCCAATGAGAACTCGGCGTCTTTCCGACCACACCAAAACACCTGCAAAGAAAAACAAAAAAAAAAAAAACAAAAAAAAAAAAACAGACGAACTTGTACTTTGCATTGGCAGTGAAACGAAGCGGGAAGGATTTACAATTTTTAATTCTGTGCAATAGAAAATAGACTATTTGAGTGCGGACTGCAACTGCACGCGCAGTTTATTGGCACCAGGATTAACAGGAATTTCTTAGCTGCAAAAAAAAAAAAAAGAGCATGTTTCTTTAACCATTTTTTTAGACCACCTGAGACTGGGTGGAAGAAACACGACGACGTCTCAAAGAGACGTCGTCGTGCTTCTTCCACCCAGTTTCAGGTGGTCTAAAAAAATGGTAAACTTACACCAGCTCGCCTGCGCCCTAACTGTTTTTTCATGTTTCTTTGTTGTTGTTGTTGTTGTTGCTTTTTTTTTTTTTTTTAGGGGGGGGGGGGGGGGCGGGATATGAGCGCGTGTATAGCTGTCGGTGCGCTTGCTCAAGGTATACGTATATATACATTGACAACATTGTTTCTATAGGCTTAATCACGTAGAAGCGATCCAGACAGTGAAAGAAAAAAAACGAGGCACCCAAGTTCCGATTTGCGCGCTCGGCAACATTGTTTGGTTAATATTTCGTTCCTGGTATACTTTTATGCAGGACTGAGATTAATGATGATCTTGTGGTGGTAATCCGAAATTTACTTGAGCATACACGAACTCACATAAGCAAACAAAATAAACAAGTTTTTTTGTTGTTGTTTTTTTACGTTATACACTTGCATTTTTTCGAGGTACAGCTCTCCTTTTTGCGGTTTCTGGCCGCAAGTTGTTTCTGTTAGCATTGCGTCCATTTGTAATAGATAGCAATAAACACCAAATATTCTTACCAGTGCGTGGCTTCTTAAGTTCACGCTCCTTGCTTCGCGATTCCCTTTTCGGCTTTCGTACCGGCTAATCCAGTGACCTCGTTTTCTACAGAGCGACATTCATTAAGACGAGGAGGCCTCGGGACGCTTTGCGTTTATTTGAGCTGTCGGCTACCGTAGAGCAAGCTGAACGCTGTATCCCTTACGCAGAATCGCGTTGGCAATTAAAGGCCGAAAACTCCGGTAAATCTTCGTAACTTGGTGCATACTAAAGGTTCGTCATTGACTTCAGGGGACTGCCTAGTGTGAGACAGCGTCGAGCGGAACAGAAAATAAACAAAAGAAGAGTCGCTGAGAATCGTCTCGGTTCAGTGACACGAGGAGCGAACTTGAGAACCTGACAACACGGTATAAGCGGCAATTCAGCGAAGATAACGCACGCGCTTGCTCGATTTCTCGGGTTCCCCACCCCACTTATGGCGGGCTATCTGGCCGCGTTTTGTTGGGATCCGCCTCGCTCCATACACTTCGTTCGACTCCAAGTCTGAGCGCAGCCGACGCTATGCCGAGAGCAAGTTGTCTGCTTCTTGCGGAGGAGTTTCGGTGACGTCAGAACGACGCCGAGGCCTGATTGGCTGTGGGTGGATCTCAATGGTAAATGCCTTCAGGTCTACCCACTATTTTTTTTTTTCAATCAGCCAATAAACGCTTGGCATTCTGACATCGGCGCAACCCCTGTGAAGGAAGCAGAACTTGCGCTTTGCATAGCGTCCGATATAGACAATCAAGCAGCACCAACGCTTCTTTGTCATGGCACTCAGCGTCTCAGTGCATTTTCTATCAACTGCTAGCCAATCACTCTCAGCAAACGCGCCATGATCCTGTGCTTTGTGTGTGTGTGTTTGCATGTGCGTGTGTGTGTGATTGGTTTATCCGGTGTTTGCAAACGTGCAAAGGTCACGTGCGCCGCATAAATGGATGGATGATAACGGCTGTACTTTGTATAGTGGCTTGTAGCTTGCGCCACCTAGCCTAGAAAGTAAAATAATTAAGAGCCGTGACAATGCACTTTTAGGGCTGCCCCCGGATCGTTGCATCGTCCGCGGTCAGACTTGTCAAACAAAGCAGAAGAAGATACGCAAATGCGTCCCAGGGTGTCAGTTCGTGTTACCGCAAGAAGTATCCATGCATGATCATTCAACTACATGGAGTGCCGTGTTCCCGCTATTTGTAAAAATGTTCAGTACATGTTCGGCATGTCAGTCACCCACCATGGAGGAGGAGGAGGGGTCCTTAGAGTGTACGAAGTGTGCGAGCACGTACCATTTTGGAAAATGTGAGGGCA